TGGCGCATGTTGGCGGCAAAGGATAAGTTTCCGCGCACGGAACAGTAGAGGGAAATGTCAAAGCAGTAGCTATCAACAAAACAGTGTATGTTCCGTCACTTATGCGTTACTTCATTTCGATGAGTCCACTGAGAATGTGTGGCTGGGTAGTGATCATTGGCGAGCAAAAGGACAGAAAGGGGTTTGCCACGTGATTGTAAAGAACTCCAAACGGAAGATGCTATATGCGTCCAAAAGGGACTACAATTAACTGTATGAGGCCGTCATGAAGCCATTTAATCCGAAAACAACCAGATAAGTTCATGAGGCCATTTAAAATACCGAAAAGCAACCAGATCAAAAACAGGAGGCATGGGTTGCGGGCTGTTCCGAGTGCGAGGTGTGGCACCAGCGATTGGGACATGCCAGAGGTGCTGTGATTCGAAAGAGCCTTTTTCTAGTCAGCGGTTTCAGTCTTCAGAAATGGTCTCCGGTACTTGGCTGTGAACCGTGTATTGTTGCAAAGTCAACGAAAGACCATCGTCCAATCCAAACTGATGAAGCAAGAAATACGATGAGAACGTTGGAACTTGGGCACTCCAATGTTGTGGGACCGATACGACATCCGTCTCTCAAAGGAAGCATGTACCTTATTCCGATGTATGACGACGAGACTGGAGCATTAATGGTATGTTTTTGATTTCTAAGAAAGAGGCAGCCAAAGCAGTCAAGGCAATGGTTTCAGCATTCGAAACTGCGTGCCGTAGAACCCCCGGCAAACTCCTGGTCAAGCTACTGCGAACAGACGATGGAAAAGAGTTCATTAAGAAGTATGTAAGGGACTAGTTGAATAAGAAGGCATTCCAACATGACTGGTCAGCTCCGTATTTTCACGGACCGAATGGGAAGGCCAAGCGTCTTAACAGAACAATTAAGAATATTGCAAGAAGTCTTCGTATAATTCCAAACACATTCAATATATAAGAAGAGGTGGGCAGTGTTTTCACCACTTCGGACTGCATCAGGAACAGACTTTATACTTTCACAAACAACGAGCCTAGAAAAACACCGTATGAAATCATGTACGACAAGAAACCTGATTTCGGCCACCTTCGCAAGATTAGAAGCTGGGCATACCTACATATTCCTATGCAAAATAGAAACGGTAAGTTCGGGGATCGTGCAAAGATTGGATATCCGGTTGGGTACGATTCTGGAAACAGTAACAGAAGTTTTCTTCAAGATTCAAACAAAAAAATGTATCTGACCATGTGAAGATTGATAGAAGCTGGGTACCAGAGTCAGTGCAGGACTGCAACTCATCCAGCAGTGAAATGGGAGAAGTTTCCAGTGCCTTTGATGGCACGAATACAAGCGAATGAACGAATACTGATCTTATCACAGACCATCATGATTATTTAGAAGAGGACGAATCATTTGAAAATGCGGTCATCGGGGACCACGCGAAGGAATTAACGTATTATCTTGGTGTTAAACGATCGAACTGGAAGGAAAATATCCCGGACAGGTTCGCCCAAAGCGTTTTACATTCCGTGATAGTGCTGTCTTGCCACGGCAGCCTGAAAATGAAGATACTTTGACCTTCCGATAGGCCACCGAAGCTGCAGAAAAGCAAGGTCCGCCGTATCACCCTCTTCAAGGACAACCGGGAACACTCTGATTCTCTCAAGGATGTCAAGCTACGCATAGCCAACATCAGGGCTGGTGGCTTGATGGACCTGATTTCTGACGGCCCTGAAGAAGATATCCACGCGATAACCAAGACCACGCTCAATAGAACCGTACAGAGGACTGCATGACACCATTTGAGAACTCAGCCCGAGTATGAGAGTCAGCGACGGTATTCACTGCATCTTTTCATACAGCGGAGTCTCTTTACGCCCAAATTCTCAGATTTACAGGCGCTGTGTCAACATCTAACAAATGAATACCTCATATAATTTCAATCTTCTTTGCAAATGGCTAAAAAAGGAAAACATAGCACATTATGTCTGTAACAGTAGCTAGATGTCTCCAAATTACAGTGATTTGGGTCCACAGAGACTGATGGTACTTCATTAGTTCTATTTAAAAGACCAATGACAGAACTTCAATACTTCGAGAGACAGGGTGCGGACGACATGTTCTGACGAGAAAAAAGGTATTTAAGTTCCAATTCCTTCCCTTTCCACCAAATATTATGAAACATTCTCTCAGACAGGCAGTCACAGGAGATCTTTTCAAGATGATACCCTACTGAACCATATGTTCGAGCTGGGGGCGTGATCTATTGGTGTCAACATTTCCGTGTTAGACGTTCACATCTTGGAATCTTGAAGGCTGTATGAATTTTCAAAACAAGATGGATGCCAGATGCCCCAGAATTAGATCGATTGAGATATATCTGGCCCTTAAATTGTGAAAAATGTTACAGTGTATTACTCCATAAACAGAAATCACACAGTTTCTTTCGAAAAGAAAATATGGACTTTTGGAGTAGAAAAGTACTCACTTGTCTCACACCCCTCGCAAGAGCAACCCGACACCTAGAGACGACATCTTGTTTGTCGTTCATCTAGATGCCATATTTTTCAAAGGTGAAACAAAATCAAAGTTCATTTCTTCCACTTGCAAGTTGCAAGTTTGCAAGGTATAATAATACTTATCCCTCTATCTGACTAAGGATAACATTTTGGAGGACCACGCAGATTACGATCACCTTTTCACTCACGATAGTCAATGTATCAATGTGAACTGGCTTTCAGGATGCTTCTACCCTTTTACACTTCTGTAATTGGTCCGATGTAGAGACAATTAGCCAAAACCCCACTTTTCATATAGGTCTTTCATGCATTTGGAGACGCGCTTGGATGACCTGCAGTCGTTTCGAGATTCCCCTTTAGTAGGGTTTGACCGCATTCAAATTCGTGCTCAAGAGGCGCCATAATGCGTTCTGGGCAGCAAGTCACAAGCAAAAATCGCACAGATGTTCACGTTCCTTCTCAGCCAGCACAATGTTTTGCGAGGAGTCGAATCTGGACATCTGAGACTTAGAGATCCCTTACGACCACTGATCGTGCTTATAAGTTAGACACTAGCGGTTTATATGTATATGGATGTTTAAAGTACTGCTTGGTCAAATTTGTGCTCCTTTTTATCAACAGTTGCGCAATTTCCAATTTGTAGTTAAGCTTCACTACAGAACCCTTGACCTCATATGAGGCAAATTGCCGGTCGTTTAGACACTAGAGGGAGCACCATGTTTAGAAAAAGTAGAGCTGTCCTCATATGAAGACAAGCCCTGGTCAGATAGACACTATAGCAATGAATTAAAAACAACTGTGTCGACTATTCGGAATGTACTCTAGCGATAGTGCAAGTTTGAAGTCAGTGACACTGGGGTGTGTCAGTAAGCTGAACCCGTTGTCTTTATATTTTCGTTACTGTCCCTTTGTCACACTACATTGTGTTGGTTACTACGTTACCACTTGCCGTAATCTTCGCCCTCTTTCTTTCCGCTACGTGGACACGTTGGCAGTGTTGGAACCTACCTCAAGTGCAAACACAGGATCGTAGAACGACGTATAATTGATTCGAGTCTCTGTCGCCGTCGCAGCGTACGGGGCGCTTTATCAAGACGCGAATATAACCGTGCCCTTCGTCCTCTTCCGTGGCAGCGAAAGATGGATGTCCTGGAAAACGTGACTACGGTAGTCAGCACTGATTGAAAAAAAAAGGTTGAAGCGCCTATATCGCAAGGACGCATTTATGCCTCTCGAGACCTGATCTGCTTCCTGGCTCATCCGTGTCATATTGATATACTGAACTGTACAGCGCTTTCATAAATGATTGTCAATATACGCATGGTCATCAGGAATTAAGAGGTGAAAATGGAACAAAGTCCTTCTTGGCCCAGCCAATGCCAACTTTCTGTAGTGTTTTTTAAGAACTGGATTTTTATTTTCTTTGCATATCCGCGGAGGCTCGTCCAATTGATTGGTGGGTCAGTTAATGCTCCTTGTTTTGGTGATGCGCAGGTTGTGTTCATGTGATGGGAAGAGAAGAGCGAATGGGACATTTCATTCTCCCTCACTGAATAAATTTATAATCTTGTGTGGCGGCTGATTGCATTTTACTCACCTTCTGTCGAAAATTATAATCTAGCCCACAATAACCGAGAAGAATTTCTTTCCAATACAACTCTACCACAGCAAAGAGATCCTGGTTGTTGTCCACCCATGTTACAATTATTCAACTAATGCACAGTGCAGTCTATAGCAATAGCATAGATCCAGTTCGGGGTGGAACGGCATCTGCAAGCATGACAATATATACTCGGAACCCTCGGGACATCGCGAGTTTAGTATGCTACGATAGTCGCGAACACAAGTTGTGTGTGCAGGGTATTTAAGATAAGCTCCATTATGACAACTCCTGAGACACCCACCGGGACATAGGCTGGAACCGGCATGTATGACAACTGTGAAGGCAGCGCCCCTGATTATTGTTATTCCCGTTGAGATGGTATATCGGCGGTATTTAATTTATCTCTACGATGTTCACTGAAGGGGGATTGGAACTGGCAAGCTTGACTTACTGTACCCAAGGGTACTGTATGTTTATACTTTTTATAACGTGTCCCCGTATTCGGAGTTGACTCTACTTCTGACTCCAATTATGCATTGCTTGCCCTTTGTCGCAGCTTGAGGGCACGTATCACAGCAGTGCCAGTGAAAGCATGAATTCTTCGAGACAGTCTGCTTCTCCAGAAGTACTATCAGGCCACGTTTTTGATGAAGCATAGGAATTGAGAAAATGAGCCGCAAGTTGTTCCAAAGCCACAGCTTTATTTCATGGGGAAAGTTCTGGAAATCTGCCAATTAGTGCCACTCCTCTCTCTACCTTCCCTTTTCAAATCCTATGTGCGCCTCGACGAGCCCTCGAGAACCGTAAGCATTTCACTGCCGTGACAAACACACATATGGCAAGCATGAACACACGTTTGTTTCATCCACCCAGAGATGCCAAAATGCTTCCACCGTTTTACTATTTTTGATCGCTACGATAGCGACAACGAACGCTCATCTGCACTCAAAGTCCCGCATATTTCAACCTCAAACCCTTACCAACAACCCCCTTCCCCTTCGACAGGCCCCTTTCGTCAGCACACACATAGGACAACATCCTCAGCAATGTCAGGCGCCGACTCTTCGTACTCTAGGGATGTCGTCATGCATAGTCAAAGAGGTGCACCCCTTCGCAACCAAGACCTCCGTCTCAGAAAGCAGCCAGCTGAGCCTATGCATCCTGACCATAATGTGGCTCTCGTTGATAGCAGACGTCTCGCATCAGCGCAACACCGCGCAGGTGCTACTCAGAAAGGAGGCCGCTCTTCTGGCTCCAGAAAGTGCAATAACTGTGGCGTCTCCCAGACACGACAGTGGGTTCGAGGCGAAGATCAAGTCTGGTTGTGTCACAGCTGCGGACAGTTTTGGAGAAAAAACGGGTATTCTAGACCAGAAGAACTATGGAACCGTCCGATGTTCCGAAGGTCTTCCAGAAAGAGAAGAGTCAATACCCCATCTCAAGATCAAGAGAAGAAGTCAAAGCCAGCGAAAGGTGCTCGCGAAGCGTCTTCCAGTTACATGAATGGGAAGAAAATGGTGGAGTGTGGAGAACGACTGCCACCGATTCAAAAGTCGAAGAACTCTTCCCCAGACAGTAGATATGACCCTGTGAATGATCACAGTTCCGCAAACCTCCGACTGGATGGAGGCCACCGCTTGCACACATCGAGAAAGACCGGGGGCGGTGCACCAATCTCTAACATGATTCATGTGGAACCTATGCTTCCGCCAGTCTCCCAGCTGCTCAAGAAGAATTCTGCTCCAAAGGAGAGACGACAGTAAGACCTCTGCACTTGACAGAGTTCTTATGGTCATGGTCTATCCGCATTGGGAACCCTCAAATGGTGATCAAAATTGTCTGCATGTCCAACAGAACGGCAGTGAAGTCACGGACAGGAAGAGAAGTAAGTGTTACTGAGCTTAGCCAGAGCCCGTCAGGTTATGCATGTGATTTAGAGTGAAGCGACCAATGACGCAACAACTCTTTCCGAGCACAAAAGATTCAGGACACGACAGCTATGGTGTTCAACTGTATCGTAAAACCTACAACATTTGGGAAGTATTTTATTTGAGCCGTAGTCTGGGGCAGTGAGGACATGGCAGGAACCACCAGGCCAGGATGACATGGCCTACGTTCTACGTCCAGTGTTTCTGACGAATTTTCATGATGTTATCGCTGTAGTGCTTAAAGCATGGCAGTTAGTTTCCGAAGAAGCGCGGCATGGCGGGGCGTCCGTAGCTTTTTAAGGAAGGTTTTAGTTTCGTGTACTTTCGCGGATTCATTTCCGCACTTGGCGGTACAAAGGGAACGCTTCATTGCGTTGCGTAGATCTTCTCATGCGGAAGGGTGTACGCAGTACTAACACTCAAGCTCAATTCTGAAAGCATGTAGATAGAAGTCTGGTAAACAAGCCCATCATTTACACATGCCACCACGTCTGAGGGAAGAAATGTGTGAAGACAGTCGTAACATTATACAGTGGACCTGGTCTATAGGTATGTTATGAAAGCCATATCACACCTGTAGGAACTCGACTTGAGTTTCATTCGAGTGACGACAAGTTGTGGTGGAAATTGGTAGAACAAATAACAGGCATGAGAAAAGAGGGAGAATAAGTTGCCGCAACAAGTCGGGGCTTTGTTAAAGAGCCGTTGGGTTGTGCTATTCAAGTCAGGATCTTGCTGGACAGGTTGTTGAAGGGCAGTATTCAAGACGTGATCTTCCGATAAGTGAGTGCAGCAAGCTCGTGACGAAAGCCCTCATAGGATGGCATTGTTCTAGCTCGCACAATGGAAGCGATCAAACAAGAGTGTATGGAGGCTTTCGATATGAGCCGCGATTGCTATTGTGCTTTCCCCGTGATGACCTGATAAGAATACAGTCCTGGTGCGCAGAGAAGCGTCCGTCAGAAAGTTTCGAAACGGGGCGCGCCAATGGGTAAAGCCTTGAGAGGTACTGTATGTAGTTTCCGTGGGCCCATCACGCCAGTCTCCTTTGCAACGAGCCACAAGGCGGAGGCACGACTGTGGCCTCGCTTGACAGATACAAGGGGTGTCGCAGGATGCAGCAGTTCCGGAAACAGGAGAGATGTACAGCGAATCTTGCAAAGGATCTCCCGCCCAGAATGGTGAAGTCCCGAACTGTACTGTAGTGTGCACGATTGGGGTACGCTTGGTCATGTGTCGCGAGGGTAAGGATCTCGACAGAAGTGAAGCAAGTTGTAAAGTATATTCCCCGTTGTATCGAAAATTACCTTATCGTACCTTTTGAGGCTTAGATACCCGTTGTGCGCGTTGTGGAGGTCAGCCGCGATGCAACAGAAGGTCACATCGCCTTTGATGATGTCATTAGCCCGGCTCTCGAGTGTGAATTATGTTCAAATGAAGCCTAGACGTAGCCAGAGCCATCATTGAAAGTGGGGGTTGAAGCTGATTCGGGGTAGCTTGCACGGGTGATAGACAATCTTGCCATTTACAATGCGAGGCCTTCCATCCCACAATGTGAATCAAATCAACGAAATGATTGATCAGCGGATCACTGACATCGGCACTTTATCATATCTACTCTCTACCCTCTCGCGCCCTCAACACCCTTCGCTACCATCATTGCACCGACCGTTCCCATTCCTGTGCTTATCCCTCGACCGATGCTGAGCTATTCGTACGGTTAGCAAGTGCAGTACGGTGTGTGCCTGTCGCGATTTCTGTCGGATTGTCTGTCGGAGACCGGCAGTTCCCCAACCGGCCTCACATACCAATGTTTTTGTCGCTACGTAACTTTACAAGCCCGCCAGCGCCATGTTCGTTCTCCAATGACAATTTTCCCGAGAAAAGATCACCTCGGTCTATAACCCCTCACTACTGTATTGAGATCATGAACGCGGTCGCCCTTCCGGACGCTGCTTAGCTTCTTGCCTTGAATGGAAACATACAAGCAAGCTTTACCACTTAGTCCAACATTGCTGAACTGAGTCTTTCAAGACTCAAGTCTTGGGATTTCGTGCCCGATTCTTCGAGGGTGACAACCACTGTAAAGTATTTTCTGTACTACGACCGGCGACCGGACCTCAGGGCGCAGATACAAGGTCCTGCGGAGCGTCCCCATCCGGGTTGAATCATGTTGGTCATGTTAAATCAGCAAGTTCCTTGTTGTGGACTCTGTAGTGCACAAGGGCTTTTAAAACCCAATTCTTTCTATATTCGTCGTCCATCCAGAGGACAAACTGCCGCTGTTGTCAGGATTATATAGCCCTTCTCCTCAGAATATGGAATGCGGGACACATGCTGAATTATTTTTCGATATGCAAATTGTGTAGCGGCCGAATAGTCAGACTCATGTTTCTTGGAAAACACTCTCAAGATATGCACGAGAGCAATCAAAATTCTGCAGAAGATGCCAGTAATTCTATTGCTGACCACGCGCAAGTCATTGTAAACCAAACAACTACAGCACTGTACCCTTGGTGCTACACGCAATAGAGGTCAAATACAATATTCGTTATCTCGCACAAATACAATATGTTTATTCATCAAAGACACCCTGTACAATAATGTATGTACATACAGTATGATAAATATAATGTGACATTGAAAAATTGCCTTCTTCGGAAGTTCCTGGCTTCTAGTCTATCAATATTGAAGTTTTTCACGATCCATGGCGCTCCAAGAAAATACCTTTTTCTATTATAGAGGTTCTTCGTATGCCTTCGGCATACGTGGCTGCCAAGCGAGAGTGCGAGGAAAGATAAGTCACTCTACAGTACCAAGGACGAACGACGTTCTGTACTGCAGTGTATAGAAGTCATGGTTGTGAGACCCGCATATCACAGACCTGGCTGCCATACCATCAGGACTGCTCCACTTTAACCATTTAATGATCTGTCAAGGAACTACATCTGATGGCGCATATGGGTGTAGTGCTACATTTTACAGTGAATTATTCTTTAGGTATCCCTTCACATACTCCCGGAATATGCATCTAGGTCTTCTAGAAACAGCAGCCCGCACCTGCAGAAAGCACTTCTCAAAACCGTCCTGAAGACACACTGAAAACTTTTCGTCGTGCTTCATGAGGATTCGATTCATTTGATCCTAGGATCTTGAGATCAAGCACCTGAGCTCATCGGATGCAGTGACAAGGGCGACTGTTTGATTCGTGATCAATAAATAGAGCTTGCTCAACCTCGTGTTCTACATAAACTGAGTGGAGGGCCCATTTCCTGATGCAAAGAAAGATGTAGGATACTGTAAGAAAACTCATGAAACGGCATGATTGACTCGTCTAAACATGAATCTCCGTGGATCGGTCATTGTGGTATACAATCTGCATCTACCGCTATATAATTATTCCCTCAGACTGACCCCTCACTGGAGCATATGTTACGGAGAACCAGAACATTGCTTTTCTATTTGATATGAAGACTTTTCTGCTTGTGGAGACTTTCTCTACAGTGTAGTGGATGTTCTTTATGAAGCGCGAGAGATTTTTCGCTGCAGCATTGCCTCACACGGATTAAGAATCAATTTGGAAAGGCAGGGATGGAGTCCGCATAGACCCCTCAACGCATAATGATGTAACTTACTCTGACTGCAGAACCATGAGTTGCATGCACATTGAGGGCCAGTCCTAACAGGCGCTTTTCTTTTCTTTTGTTTTCCTTCAGCCAGTTGCGGTCACGCTATTGGCCGGATCATTTCATTAAATTAATCGCACGCCACAACGAATGCTACACAGAACCTCTGTAATGCTTGGTAATTCTGCGAACTGGTCGAAATCCATTGGCTAAAGGAAGTACCAATCCACACCCAGTCCATATGCACACTACTAAAATTCCATGGACTCGATGCGGTGCAGTGGCACTTGCAGTACAATGAAAGGGTGGAATTAAATCCAAATACGAGCACATGCAGATCAAAACATTAGTTCTCTCAACATTACAAACCAGACACAGTACCTTCTCCCGCCATTTTATGTGCACAACTCGGCCCTCCCCCGCCTCGACGCCCACGTGAAATTTGCGACAGTCGTTTGCTAGCGTTTTACACTCTGTTTAGGAAACGGAGCACCACCGGACGGCAGAAGGGTACCCAGAGTTCAGCACCCAGAGTTCAGCTTTTTGAAATCAAATGCCTCCTTGGCATCGATCATGAAATGGAGAGAAGCCGGGGAGGCTGCTCTCTAGTTCATGATCGATCATGAAGTGGCTTCGCCGAAATCCCTTTCCTGTGAACCACCCCGCCCTCGCTCCCTCCCCCCCTTTCACAGTGTTACTGATCGAGTTAGGGACAAGAACGTAGGCTACAGTACATATCACTCTGTTAAAATATCAGTAGCAATTCAGGGAACACTCCGTAGGCTACGTTTAGAAACATTCGATAAGATCTCGGAAGGATTATGCGACCTATACCCTACCTTTTATGCGGTTGCCCTTATAGGGACAGTGTAGACATGTACATAGGTGGCGCTACCTCCTTTTATGTCAAAGCGCCTACTTTCTCTGTAGAGTCAATAACACTATAAAGAAAGGTCGAAGACCCAACTCGTCTTCGACTTCACCACTATGAATGAATACCTCAACCGATACCTCAACCGACAACATTTTCTCGGACCTATGCTCAAAGCAGTAACGAATCAATTTCCTGCTGCTTCCCGGTTCCCTTGGAAACTCTATCTACCACCCGTAACCCACACTCCCACAACCCCCTCCCGACCGCCCCACTTGCGGTCTCTCGACACTTGTAAGCTTACGGGATCGCCGTCTCCTTCGGTCTCGCAGTACTGAAATTTCGAAACCTGATCAGGAAATAGAGAGTTTTTGAAACAAAAAATCGCTAAATTGTGGTGGCTATCCGATCGACAATTCTTTGTCACATTTTAGCGAGTTTTGCGCCGACGGAGAGTTTTTGAACCATTGCAAAGTCGTGACTAACTGAACCCCTTCCAAGCTCGTACTGAGTGCTACAGCCCTCTCCCCATATCTTCGTCGCCTAAACCCACCATGCGTCAAAAATCGTACAACAAACGAGCTGTTGTAGCCAAAATACGCTCGACCACAAGGCGCCTTCGCCTGTCCATGGTGAAATGTCGCACACAATCCATCCCATTTTATTTTGCCCGCAAGCGCCGGCTACTGCGCATTGATCTAACCAAACTCATATGGCGTACGATCGCTGTAAGTTGTATGCCGTTCAACTTTAACACTTATTCCGACCTCCGCTGTCTCCAGGACTTCTGCTTTATGCTTCATGAAATACCTCTGATGACGGAGGCGCTAAGTTGGACAGCGGAGAAGACACAGTGTAGTGGATATAGATGTTGTCCTATAATTGCAACTTGTTTACTCTTGCGTCAGCTTGCGTATCCATGCAGATGGATTGACCTCTAACTGGTCTTTGGAATGCACAGTCCAGCTCTCTGCGAGGTGTTCTGGGAGGGCATCGAATGCTTCTACGAGAACCGGAGCCAACTTCTCACTACGTTT